AATTAAATCATCAAGTTTTACATGAAACTTGTCAGTGCAGCCCCTTCGGTGTTGAAATGTGCACCTCACAATCTCTGACTGTTATGAATTTATCAAAAATCATCTAAAGTTTCAAGACAACGTATTAAAATAATATTGAACAAATGAATGAATCAGAATTATGAGAAGTTTTATACTAAATAAGCGCGCTCCGATATTTTATTTTATCAAAACTTCATATTTATAATTACTGTAATAAAAAAGTTATTTTTGTTCGATACATATTTCATGCATAATTTGAACTTACTTAATAAAGCTATTCATACAAGCCATACGAAATGCTGATAAATACTAAAAGTATATTTAAAAATATTAAATATAAAAAAAAACTATTAATTGATTATTAAGTAATTAACTCATCATTTTCCTGACTACCTAATGAGTTAATTTATTTGTAATGATCTGTAATGGAGGGGGAGGGAGTAACAGTTGCTGTGGAAACATGCCCAATAATGCATTGTTTCGTGCCATATGGTTGCTAGAGATCATTGCTATGGAGGTGTTTGGGAAAGCCTTTAATATCCCGCCATTTTGGTCGCTGGAGCTTAAGAGGGAAGGGGTGACGGGAAGCCGCAAAGACCTCAATTTAAAACTCACACTCACTATTTTCTTCAAAAATATATGTGAGTTTCACAAAACAAAAATATCAATAACTATCATACTGATATGGCACGACTACGATGCCATAATACTCAGTTTCATACCATGCCAACTGTTATCTTTATCAAAATGTTATTTAATAAACCTCAATGTTGAAGACTGATTTCGCATCTCGCTCAAAGAAGTGTGAGGTGAGGATGGCAAACAGATCGAGTAACACAACTGAAAGAGAGATAGTAATCTTTCTTTCCTTAGCTTTATCAACAGATCACTCCAACGCATTCTTCTATCGTTTCAATATCTATTTTTCTAAAAGATTTTGTATTGTGTAAACCAATTAATTGTGGTAAAAATATTACTCAATTCAATCATTCATTGCTAATATTATACTGAAAAATATTAATCAGAAAAAGAAAGACTATATTTTCTACAGACTATTCATTTCAAATTACACATTAATTTTCAAAGTAGCAAATAATATATATCAATTTTATTCTATTCTATTAAAAAAAACTTTTATAAACACACTCAACTCATTCCATTAAACTCATTTCACTTACATTGCTTGAACGATATGCATTACAGGTTTTCGAATATCATTGTAACAAATAAATATTACAATAGGAAATTATTTTAATATTCTTTCATACATGCCACCATACTCATATTGATCTCTTACGATTTAAATGAATTATGGACCATAATAAATAAGATATCAATTTTTTTTCGAGTATTCTACATTTTCTTGTTCTGTTTAAAATTATTAAATTTAAGCAATAGACTATCTCTTGAATCGGATATCAGATCCCTGAAATACAATCATTCAATAGGGTTCGCAAAAATAGTACTGATTCAACATCCTATTCATAATCAATGAATAGGTTCATATAAATACTTAACTTTAACTCATTTGATGATAGTTATTTGTTTTTCGTGTTGTCGTGAACGACATTGATATTCTTCATTAGCTCGCGCCCTATATTATTTCACCAATGACATTCATGATAACCTTCAGTTGGATCATAGTTTGATGAAAATCAAATACTTACAAATGGATTAACCTTCGATGAGAAAATACCGTACAGATAAGAGTATCACAAATGAATTGTAATAAAAGAGGCATTAATGCCAAAAATGAGACGTGTAAAATTAAGAGTTCACACGCCTGAAATTTGACCAATCAATTAAAGTAGATAATTCGATAAAACATTCTAATAATGAAAGAAACTCAGAGATAAATCTATTGAATGTACATTTTGCATAACTTTCTAAATTTATCTTTATATTCAATCAAAGTGGCTGAAGTCCATGATCGATTTAACGCGTTTT